TAAGTTCGAGCCCCGCGTCAGACTCTGTGCTGACAGCTCAGAGCCTGGAACCTGCTTCGGATTCTGTGTCCCCCTCTCTCTCTGCCCCTCCCCCACTCATGCTCTGTCTCTCTCTGTCTCCGAAATAAATAAACATTAAAAAAAAAAAAAAGAGTCAGATGCTTAACCAACTTAGCCACCCAGGCTCTCCTGTATTTTTTTATTTCAACTATTTTTTTTTCTAATAATTCCAATTGTTTTCTTTTTGTACCCATGTGTATCCACTCATGGACTGTATCATAATTTATTATCCTGTTTATAGATGCTATTCATTCTTTACCTTTTTCAGATATAAGTCATTTTGAAAGTGTACCATTACTTGCATTTCATCAGCAGTAAATCCAGCTTTCATTTGTTGATGTGTTCAGCTGTCTTTCTTAATGTCAATTTCTCTGGGTGTTTTGGAACTTTCCACCCGTTTTCCTCTATCCTCAGTGCAAGTCACCCTGGTTCAGCTCCATCAGGTTGTTGGTTTGCACAGTACTGGAGGCAGCATTCACATTCTGCAACCAGGTGGCCTGTATAGTCACATGATAATCACCTGACTCATCACAGCACCCTCTTGATTCATCTTCCTGCTTCTAGCCTTGCCTTCCCTCCAAGACATTCCCTTAATCTAGCCAGTGACCACTCTACAATGCACATCATATCATGATACTCTCCTTTCAGGAGCTCTCCTTTGGCTCACAGAATAAAATCTAAGTTCCTAGACATAGTCCATACATGATTTAGCTTTTTCTTACCTCTCTAGCATAAGCCCTCAACCTTACACACCCTCACACACATATATACATTCAGACACACACTCCACATTCAAGCTCTTGTAAACTTTTTTCAGTTCTGCCATACCATCTATCTTTGGATCTAAAACAATCCAGGTCCATAAGAAGATGAGTGAGAATAAAAACAAGAATAAGAATACCTAACATGTAGTGAATGTTTTCTGTAGCCAGGTAATAAGAGATGAGCTTATTCCTTACATTAGCCCTACCCCTGGAGAATGTCCGGCACATATTAAGCCTTGATTAAACAAGGCTTTATTTTTTATGAATAGGCAATAGCCCTTTTTGTCATACTGACTGCTTTTTTGCCTCAAATTCTACTTTTTCATATTAATATTGCAACTCTACCCTTTTGTATTTGTTATAACTTTTTCTCAACACTTTTCTTTTTAAATATACTGAATTACTTTCTTTAATAAAATAAAGATACATAGATTGATCCATTAGTGGGGGGGGGCAGTGGAGGCATGACTCACACTGAGAATCTTTGCTGTTTAATAGTGAAATTTAACTCATTTATATTTATTATATATTACATGTATTCAGACTTCTATTATATTTATTCATATTCCTTTATGTTCTATCTTTTGCTAGATGTTAATGTTTTATCTTCCTTTATTTTGGAATGTTTTCATTCTAATAGTGATTTTATATCCATGGAATATTACATTTTCATCAAAATATGTCCAGCTATTAGTTTCCTTTCATTGACTTCATCTGATATTGGGTGAGCCATTTTAATCTGCAGATTTAAATCTTCAATTAGCTTAAGAACATCAATTATCCACAAACTTAATTCCTGCTCACTATTCCCCACATTTATTATAATTTGCTCATCATTTTAGAGTTTCTGTGTTTTCCTCTGAATTATGTGAAAGTTTGCTCTATTAGTAACTGGGTTTTCCACAAAGTAGATTCTTCTCTTTACTGCTTCTAATATCATTTAAAATTCTTTTTAATTTTTGTTAAGTTTATTTATCTTGAGAGAGAGAAAGAGAGACAGAGCAAGCGGGGTAGGGAGGAGAGAAAGAGAGAAAGAGAGAGAGAATCCCAAGCAGGCTCTGCACTGTCAGCGCAGAGCCCAATGCGGGGCTTGAACTTATGAACCATGAGATCATGACCTGAGCTGAAGTCAGATGCTCAACCAGCTGAGCCACCCAGGTGCCCCTCATTTAAAATTCTTTTTGGCAGGGGTGCCTGGGTGGCTCAGTCGGTTAAGCGTCCAACTTCGGCTCAGGTCATGATTTCACGGTTTGTGAATTCAAGCCCCACGTCAGGCTCTGTGCTGACAGCTCAGAGCCTGGAGCCTGCTTTGGATTCTGTGTCTCCTTCTCTCTCTGCCCCTCCCTCACTTATGCTCTATCTCTCTCTATCAAAAATAAACACATGTAGAAAATAAATTAAAAAATTTTTTGGCCATTTTTAGTTTTCTTATGTTCTTTCTTTAATTTACCAACAACTTTTTCATCTCATTCTGTCGCCTTACTTTATCTTTTGTATTTTTTTCATATGGTTTATTTTTTCTGGAAGTTTGCTGTAAATACAAAGTTAACAGATATCTAAATCTGGTTGGCTTTCTGTAGTAAATAATCCTTTCTAAAATTTAGTTAGTCCCTACCTTCTAAATGCTAGAGTATGCCTTTTTAGATGCAGAATCTTTCCTTTCACCAACCTGTGAGGCGTTTTTTTCCTCCCCTACTTCTTTACATCCAAACTTAAAAAAGAAGAAATTGACTCAGACCTGTTATTCATTTCCAATTGTGGATAGATTCTTCTTGGCTACCTTCATAGCACATACAGAAGCTGTCAGAATACACTTCTCAGATTTTAGGCTGGAGAGCTAGTTGTTTTAAGACATCAATTAAATAATCCAGAATCCTACAAAGAATGAGGAAGAAGCTGGGACAGGAGTCACTGCCAGCAGGGGAATGTCACCTCTGCATAATTTCTTCTTTGTGTCTGGTAAAGCTTCTAAAGCTGTAGGGCCAATTTTCTTATGTCTGGTTTTCAATTTGGCCTGGCCATCACTCCAAGTGAGATTAATGATTGTCCAACTTCCTAGCTGGTGTATGGCTTCTCCCTGCCACCCCAGGGTTTTCTATTTGGGAAAGCCACATTTGAGATTGCTGATGGGCTCCCCAGGGGATTGATTTCAAACGCTGCTGACCTACAACAACAAAAGTGGTTCCATGTGGAAAGACCCCTGACTGTTCCAAGGCTCCTGCTCACTTCTAAAGAGTATAGGACTCGGGATGCCTGGGTAGCTCAGGTGGTTAAGCGCCTGACTCTTGATTTCACCTCAGGTCATGATCACAGTTTGTGGGATTGAGCCCTGAGTCAGGCCCTGCACTGACAGCACAGAGCCTACTTGGGATTCTCTCTCTCTCTTCCTCTGCCCTCCCTCTGCTCATACTCTCTCTCTCTTGCTCTCAAAATCAATAAATAAACATTTAAAGAGTACAGGACTCCCCCAGAATTCCTAATTTCATATATCCCAATGCTACACTGCTCTGTAAGGAAGGTGAGCTGGGGCTCAACTCTCAATACCATCCACATTATAGTCCTAACTGCCCCATAGATTATTTTAAAAATAGTCAATGTAAAAAAAAATATTCAATGTGTGTGGTGTGTTCCTGACATCTTTCTCATGTTTTCAGTTCTGAAGCAACATTTCAAATAAGATACAGTATTGGAGTACTGGAAAAAGGGTGTTAGATCCTTGTGTTCAATTGTCATCTTACTCAGAAATCCTATCCAGTTTAGGTCTGATTTCTATTTTTTTTTTATTAAAGTTTTTTTTAACATTTATTTATTATTGACAGACAGAGCATGAGCAGGGGAGGGGCAGAGAGAGGAGGAGACACATAATCCGAAGCAGGCTCCAGGCTCCAGGCTCCAAGCTATCAGCACAGAACCTGATGGCTCAAACTCACAAACCACGAGATCACAACCTGAGCTGAAGTCGGACACTTAAGCAACTGAGCCAGGCAGCCACCCCAAGGTCTGATTTTTATTAAGAAAGAAAATAATTTTCTTTATAGAGAGTCACCTAGTTCAAAATCCTATTTGGAGTTGGGGATCCACATATTACTCCCTCAAAAAATTTGCTCTAGCAATTTAGTTAACTTCTCCCTGCCTTGCAAATGTGATTTCTAGCCAAGTGAACCTCCGTAAAGAAAACTGCTTCCTTCCTTAATAAAAAACCAAGACTGGATGGGTGCTGACAACTCCCTTGTACCACCCCCACACACACCCCTCTCCCGCAGCACGACTGTGTGCCCCTGCTCCCTCCCATATTTATCTCAAAATTTGGGCAGAAAAAAAAAATGTTACTGCTTCTTTCAAATGCCATCAAGGACTTCCAATTAGATTCAACGAATATGGACTGGGAGCTTGACAGGTTCACAGCACTCTGCTAAGCACTAACACTTGGCCTTCTAGGCTTCTCCACCAGCCCACCAGGGGCAGAGATAAATAAGATATAGACTCTCTGTGCTCCCACAGCATCCTGTGCATAATACCTGTGACACATAGTAAAATCCTCTGCTTTTTTCTACTAGACCATAAGCCTTCAGAAAACAGACCACAACTCAGCCATCATTGCATCCCGGCACCTATCACACTCCCCGGTACAGAGGGGGTTTTACAAAACATGTTAGTTCAACAAAACAGAAACCAGTCCCAGATCCTGCCCCTGAGGAGAGAGGTACCATGGCTTAGCTGTAAATCAGTGCTCCCGCTGTGACCACTTTCCATCTCAGGGAACCCTGCACACACACACAGATGCTTTGGGATCTATCTTCCCGACCGGATGCACGCCACAAGCGGTGCTCTGGCAAACCCTCTCCCAGGCGATTTGGAGTTGTATCTCAGCAGAAAGAGCCATCTCTATTTTCCCTTCCAAAATTCTTCAGAGCCACGGTCCCAGCCAGACAGAAAGGCAGGCGGGGGTATGGTCTACGTGACCTTGAGACTAGGATACCACTCTGACTCCCACAGTTGGCCGGCTGGCATAAACACCTGGTCTCCTTGCTTAGCAACTCAACAGAGCCCCAGGATTCCAGCCAGTCTGTTCCCCACCCCCCCCACACACACACACACCCAGACCAGACTGGTCAGACTGGTATTTCTGGGTCCCTGCCACTAGAGGCGTGGCCTCCAAAGGTGCAGCAGCCCCACCTGAGAATGATCCGAAGGTACTCAATGCCCTCTGCCTCCTCATACTTGACGGACAGGAGCAAGTTCCCCAAGCTGCTGCCAGTACAGTAAAAGTTTAGGTGATCCTAGAAAGAGAAATCAGGTATTAACAGAGTAGGAGACCTTCCAGACACGGCCCCTCCCAAATCACCTTTTTCGCCCACAGCAATGAGGAAGAAAGGCAAGGATGTTGTGGCTGCTGTTGATGAGGAGGAGGAGGGGGAGGAGGAGGAGGAGGAGAAAGAGAAAGATCACAGGAGGGGATTCCAACTGCGCAGACATCGGGATGTGCCAGGCACTAGACTAAGTACTTAACACCCACCGACTCCTTAAATCCTGACCACAACCTTATGGGAAGATGACATCATCATGCCCATTTCATAGATATGTAAACTGGTGTCCAGAGAGGCTAAGAAACTGCCCAGGGTCACACAACTAGTAAGGGACAGATCCAGTGTTCAAGCCCACCTTGAACGCTGGAGCTCAAGTTCCCCTCCACAGGACCCCACAACCACTTTCTTGCTCCCAGGAGGAAGCTCCTGCTGATTCCGACTATTTGTGGGAATAAAACTAGGAGGAACTCTGGCTCCTCCGCCCATGGGAAGCTGGGAGCTGCTCTGGACAGCGGGCCTCTCTCAGGCTCAGGGAGCCCACCCTAGATCTGCCATATCAGGGTGGGGCCCTGGAATCTGCATTTGAACAAGTTAGGATGGGGGTTCTGATGCAGCTCCCTCCTCCCTGTGAAACTCTGCAAAACTGCCTTAGACTGGAAACTTCCGGAATCTGCCCTTGGGACTTCCGAACCAATCAAGTCTGAAGAGCAGAATATATTTAAAGAAATGTAACTTTGTCACTTTTAAACAATCAGAGGCTCACAGCACATCACCCTGGGGACCTGCTGGAGTGAGGACAGGAGAGATTTGTACTATGTACACGGAAACAAAGACTTCCAAGGTGTGAGAACATATTTTCTCCTTCACCCCCAAGCGCTCCCCATCCGGTCACCTCCGTGAACATTTGGTGGGGGTGGTGCCCCCAAGGACCCATCACACTGAGCCTTCCTGACTTCTGCACACCCCCTGTACCCTCGCCCAGGAGCAGAGCCAGTCGGACCTCCCCAGCCAGGACAGCAGGACAGTGGCAGGCCCTAGGAAGGGGGCAGGCCCAGGAAGGAGAAGAGACAGGGAGAAAGGGGCGCTGGACGAGGCTGGTCTAGGTGCATTTCCCTGCCTGCACCAGCAGCTATTTCTCCCAGGGGCCCTCATCCTCACCTTCCCTAGGAAGTGCCTGCGGTAGGCCCTGGCTTCGCCCTTGCACTCGAGCTTATAGCCAAATGTGCTGGGGCTGAGACTGTCCTCTTCCTCCTCCTCACAGATGCTGCTGCCAAGGGAGGTCGGTGTCCCCACGTTCTCCGGGTCTTCGATCCAATAGCCCCCAAACTGGGGCAGGACAATCAGGGGGTACGGGCCTCCCTTCTCCACAACCTGGAAGCAGAGAGAAAGTCTTGCACTGTGGCCCGCCCTGGCTCTACAGGGGGAGCAAAGGAGTGGGGTGCCAGTGGTGGCACCCCCCCCCCACCTCTGAACTGTTCCACGGTGGAGACTCCGGTATTTGAGGCCTGTGTTTACAGTAACACAAACCCCAAATTTAAGCCCAACAACCTCTCAGCTTTGCCGACCCTGGAGCACCGAAGTTGCAAGGCTGTGATCAGCACCCCAGTCTCAACGTGGCAAAATGGAGGTCACAAAGGTGAAGTTCCAGGCCTGAGGTTCTCTCCCACGTGGGACGGAGCAGGGGCCATCAGCCACCCCCCCCCCCCCACCAGTCCCATCCCAGAGCTGAGACCCAGCGCAGGCTGCAGTGTGACCAGGGGGCTCCTACCTCATCAATGCTGGGATATGGGATATAGTCATCCTACAAGACAAACCAGACAAGGCGACCGTTAGCCCCAGCAGTGCCCGTGAAGTGTGATGGCTGTTTCCATTCCCCTCTCCCGGGTCAGGGGTGGGGGTTGCCTGGCAGGCTGCACGAGAGCTTTAAGAGCATCAAAGGGAACACCAGATGCAGAACGGCAGAGAGGGAGCTGTGGCAATCCGGCTTCCCTTGAGTGTTTCCCCAAAGTGACAGACCCTGAACGCAAACCTGGCTAACTGAAGGTGCACTGCACAAAGGCTCTAAACTTCGCGCCTTTCACCCCTTAGGAATGAGGGCAAAAACAGGAGGATGGCTCCTGATTTCACCCAGCCCCGCCTTCGGGCAAGGGAGCTGACTTCCAAGTGACGAGCTTCCCTGGGCCTTGGGAAAGGAAACTGCAGCGGAGGAGCAGAGCCTAGAGCCCAGAGCCTGATACCCCTAAATGCCGTGTGCGGTTCTTTTGCAGGAGCAGGTACAGAAGATCAAGGCTGAGCCACAAGCCGTAGGTCTCGCTGAAGGCCTCCATCCCCACCCCCTAAAGCTGCCTTATAGGCATCAAGCTAAGGCCCCCTTACTATCCACCTCGCCCAGTCAACACAGGCGCAGCCACTTAAGTAGCTCTTGGTGGAAGTCAGGTGGACGATGGCAGACCCCAGCACGCCGGCTGTCCCCTCGTCGGGCCCACAGGGCTGCCGCCTCATCCACACAGCCCACCTTGTTCTTCTGGGGTCCCGGCTTCTGCTCTTCAAGCTTGATCCCCTATGGCAACACGGAAAAGAGGATTCATGAAAAAGCAAAGGTCACATAAAAGGGGCCAAATGGAGGGTTCGCTTGAGATTCGCAAGCCCCTGCCTTGATGGGGTTGGTAATAATAGCTACAGCTGATTGTGCCCGGTCCTTACACATCACACACCTTGTCACACTCAGTCCCCACAGCAGCTCCAAGTAAGGCAGTAGGGCAGGCAACTAAGAGCCCAGGCTCGAGCTAGATCACCAGGGTTCAAATCCCAACACTGCCACTTAGGACCTTGGGCAAGTCACAAAACCTCTGTGGCACAGTGCTCCCTTCTGTAGAACCCAAACGGTAATAGCAGCTACCAGTGTGGTAAAGGTTAAATGTTGATGATGTTGGTTAAGCCCTTGAAAGAGTGACTGGTTTGGCTACAGATAATTATTACCATCATTCCCAGGGAGCAATATCATGCCGGCACTGAAATCTCTCTGCCAGGCTCTCAGAACCAGTAGGTACGGGGCAAGGATGGGAACCCACGTCCGAATGGTGTCAAAGCCAGCACTCTGGACCTGGTGCCCCCACAGCTGCCCTCCCTCCTTGGGGGGCAGACCCACAGGTGACAGGCAGGGGGCCTGGCGCTCATTCATTTCTGGGAAGCAGTGCCTTGTCCTGTGGTCCTGTGGTCCAGGTCTGACTTCACTGGGTTTTTTCAAGACAGGAGCACATAGTTAAATTAGACTGTTTGAATAAATTGAGTAAGGGAATGAGAAGGTGGGATAACTAGGACAAACAGGTCCCCTCTGGAGAGAAGACCATCCTAATCATAACATAATGCATGGGGATTTTAAGCTTCCTCAGCGCCCTCCCACAGTTGTCTCCTTTGAAGCCCTCAGCATCTTTATACCAAAGGGAAATTGAGGCACAGAGAGGCGGCTGCTTCTGCTGTTGCACAGCTACTGAGTGGCAGGGCCTGGATTTGAAGCCAGGCTGTCTGTCTAAGCGCACAATCATATCCCATAGGCTGTGGAGCCCAGGGCTCCTGCTCACTGGCTGGATTTAGACTTCGGCTTCTCCGGACTTCTCTGGGCTGAGTCACCCTGCAGCATTGCTCAGGAGGGTGTGGGAGGACCCCTCCCACCGGACAGGTGCTCCTCTCCCCACACAGGGAGAAAACCACCTGGGTGGCCCTGCAGACCCTGTCCAGGGAGGCAAACTGGGCAGATGGGGAGGGGGGTGATGTCAGAAGTTTGTTTTGTTTGTCCTGCATTAGTCACCCCTACCTGGGAACAGCCCCTGGGCAGGAAAGCAAACCTCCTCCCCACTCCTCCCCTCCCCGATGACACAGAGCCATCACCCAGCTCTGGGCCCTCTCCTCTCCTTTCCATGGATCTGCCTTTGCAATCAGTATTATCATTAACCCCCCTTTTTCCTCACCATGAAGAAATCAAAGATCAGACAGATAGAGTGACTTGACCAAGGACACTCAGCTACACAGTGCCAGGGTTAAAACTTGAACCCAGGACAAAATGGACCTCAGTCTTGGTTGCTTCATAGGGATCGTGCCCTTCTTCCAATTCCTCCACTGTCGGGGGATGGCGGGGGATGGAGGGGAGGTCAGGAGTCCCAGATCTGAGTTCCAGCTCTCCATGACTCGCAGAGTGCCCTGGGCACTGACTGCTCTGAAAGTCAGTCTCCACAACCACAGCGTGAGAAGAGGTGGCCCACGCCCAAGGACAGGATCTGGCCACACCACGCCACCTGCTTCGCTCCCACTATTTCCCCATATATGAGTGTTGTACATACAGAAGAGCTGGAAAGTGTGGGCCCCTTGGAGGCCGGGGCCCAGTGGGCAGGAACCTAAACCCCAGGCAGTTGGATTTCAGCCCCTGGCCGTCTCAACGGAGATGGAACAGGCAAGCCCTCGGGTGTCTGCTGCCACAAACGTACAGAGCATAAAAACCAAACCCCTGCCCTCAGGAGGGTCCCAATCTAGTTGAGAAGTCAAGCCCCGCAGCCTGGACACAGAGAAGGCAGACCAGCAGGAGGCCAGTTAAGTAGGGCTGAATTATGTACTGGGAGAGCCCTTTGCAGGGGAGGCGGGGGTCTCCAGCTGGGGGTGAGGGATGGATGGGTGGATTGTGGGACCAAATGAAGAGAAGGCAGGGGGAGCTGCAAATCCCCTGCCAGCTTCCCAGAGTGCCAGGATCTCATGGGCTCCGGTGAAAATCCCAGCTTTACGCTAGGCAGCAGAGCACGTAGCTGCACACGGTCTCCCACCCCTCGCTGCCATGACACACGCCACCCCTGTTTCCACAACCCGACTGTAAGTCCCTAAATGTATGTAAAATTGGTCTGCAGTCCACACACTGCTGGAGGATCTTAGTAACTTCTGGGTGATAATGACACAACCACTACAATACTTCTCCCTCAAACGGTCCCTCCCCTTCCCCATCATTAGGGAGACCTGGCTTTCCTGTGAGCACCTCAGTGTCTCCACCTGCATCGCAGGACCGCAGTGGCACCCTAACTGCCTCTCCTCCAGAGCTTCCACACCATTACCATGGAATCTTCTTTCCCTGAACCTGTAGCATCTACTCAGGGTAGAAAGCATCATAACATAATGGCTAAGCCTTCTGACTCTGAAGCTACTTACTACCCACAACCCTTGAGTGCTTTAAGTAAGATCTCTGTGCCTCAGTTTTCCCACCTGTGAAAAGAAGATAATGATAATAATACAGCTGCTTCTTGCGGACTTTTCAGGAAGACATGAGCTAAGACTTGTTACTGTCTGAGCCGAGAAAAGTGCTTAAAACACATGTGCTACCGGGGCGCTTGGGTGGCTCAGTTGGTTAAGCATCTGACTGCGGCTCAGGTCATGATCTCATGGCTCATTTGTGAGTTCTACGCCCCACATCGGACGCTTTGCTGTCAGCACAGAGCCCTCTTTAGGTTCTCTGTTGCCCTCCCTGCCCCTCCCCCACTAGTGCCGGCTCTCAAAAATAAACTTTTTTTTTATTTTAGGGGCCCCAGAGTGACTCAGTCGGTTAAGCGACCTACTTAGGCTCAGGTCATGATCTTGTGGTTCATGGGTTCGAGCCCCACATCGGGCTCTGTGCTGATAGCTCAGAGCCTGGATCCTGTTTCTGATTCTGTGTCTCCCTCTCTCTCTGCCCCTTCCCTGTTCATGCTCTGTTCATGCTCTGTCTCTCTGTCTCTCAAAAATAAACATTAAAAAAAAATTTTTTTTTAATTTTTAAATACATGTGCTATTGTCAGCATCTTCTTCCCACCCATATCAGTTAAGCCTTCTGGACGTCCCCCCAAATCCCCCAGGGCACCAGTTCTTACCTGTGAGCCCTGGCCCCTTGGTGAGGAATAATTATAAAGTGCCCCCCCAAATCCATTTTGAACACTGATTTTTATGCAATGCTTATCAAGTATTTACATACATTATTTCATTTCATCTCAACAACCGTGTGAGTGGGTATTTCTGTTATTATTTATAAGGGCTGCGGTATGATTTATAACAACAAATATTCTGGTCTTCACCCATTCCTGGTACAGAACTCCTACAGCCTGTTGAGTCTCGTAAGTGACGAGAGCAATGGGAGCATTCAGAAGCATCTTTTGTTACAATATTTGGTCTTTTGTCCTTGGTTGCTGAAACAGCTCCAGAGCCATAAAGGTGAAAGCAAGAAGGTTATTTATAAGTTTGTTAATAAGGTTGACTTTTGGGACACCCCTAAGGATGGAGCTGGTTGCCAGGGGAACCAACCACCACTAGAGGCTCCAAACCTTCAGTCCCACCTCCCCAACCTCGCGGGAGGGGAGAGGGGCTGGAGGCTGAATCAATCTCCAGTGGCCAATGGTTTAATCGATCATGCCTAAGTAATAAAGCCTCTATAAAAAATCCAAATGATGGGTTCGGGGAGCTTCCGGGTTGGTGAGTACATGGCCGCGCTGGGAGAGTGATACATCCAGAGGACACAGAAGCTCTTCCCGGCCTTCCCGCATACCTTGCCCTCCACAACTCTTCCATCGGGCTGTTCCTGATTTATATCCCTTTATAATCAATTGATAATCTAGTAAGTAAACTGTTCTGAGTTCTCTGAGCCACTCTAGCAAATGAATAGAACCTGAGCAGGGAATCATGGGACCCTCAAATTCATAGCCTGTTGGTCAGAAGCATAGGTGACAACAGACTCGTGGCCGGCATCTGAAGCAGGCAGGGGGCAGGCTTGCAGGGCAGAGCCCATACCCTGTGGGATCTGACGCTCTCTCTGGGAGACAGTGTCAGAATGGAGCTGAACTGCAGGACACCAAGCTGGTGTCACAGAATTGTTCGGTGGGGGGAAAACAACCACACATTTGGTGTCAGAGGGAGGTGATAACAGTGCTGTGAACAGATAGAAAACAGGAGCCGGAAGGCTCAGAAAAAGGAAGGAACTTGTGCTAGCAAGTGTTAGGTGCAGGGTTTGACCTCGGGTGGGTCTCTCACCCGTAGCTCTGCCTCCCAGACTCAAGATGCGCCCCTAGGAAAGGGCTTTCTTTTTCCGACTTTCTTCCCAACCCATCCCAGGAACAACGGACCCTTTCAAGCCCTCTCCACATCTGTGAGGTTGTGTATTGCATCTGTTCTACCGGAGGAGATTTTTCTGGTTTTTCCCTTCAGGCAGGAGCTTCCCAGAATCCTCCTGCTGCTCAGCATGAAAATGGCCTTAGGTAGTTCAGGCTATGAGTTCTCTCTTCTCTTCCCTTCCCTCCAAGGCTCCCAAGTTCTGCCTGGTGTCGTATCCCCCAAGGTCACTACAGCACGCCCGCCACCCATGGCTCAGCTACCCCACTTTGGCGAGGCTCACCTGCATTTTCTCCAGCATCTCAAAGAACTCCGCAGACTGAAAGACACAAAGAAGATACATCAGTCAGGAGGTCTGCTGAGAAAGCCTCCTTACCAACTGTCTGCAAACTTAGCCCAGGGCTTCCCGGGGGAGGAGAGTCATTTGGATCAAGAGAGAAGGTAATTTGATTTTGCCTTTGCAGGGCTGGAGGGCCAGAATGCCCCATACAACAAAAGAAAAAACGAAACATGCGCAGGCTGGTGAATGGCCCTGGGGAGAGCAGCCGCTCAGTCTCTGTCAAGAGAGAGGAGTCTATAGGGCCCCTGGGAAAAGCCAAGTTCCCTAAAGCACCTGTCAGCCCCAGGATGAAGCCTCCAGAAGGAGTCATGTTTGGAATATTTTCAACCCAACAGTGAGGCCAAGGAGTCCAACACAAGTAGCTTTCCAACTTTAGTAGCAACACAGCCCTCCAGGGACCCTGGCCAGGGCAGCCATGGGGGCTTGAGCTCCAAATGTGCCTGCCCCTGTCCCCTGCCCCCAGAGCACCTCTTTGGGACCCTGGAGCTTGTGAGCAAAGCCTGAAAACGACCGAACTGCAGCCTCCAGGGACCTGGAGAGATTTTTTTTTAAATCTCGAACTATGTAAATCCAAATCTTTAACCCACTTTGGTGCCAGCCTTTGTAAATTCCAGGTAAAGGCAAAAAGGAGAAACAGGAAGTGGAAAAGGGGGGCGGGGGGGGGGTGGTGAGTGGCTAAAACCTCTGCCCTAACAAAATGCATGCAGAGAGCTCTCAGCAGCTTCCCCTCCATAGAAACAGCTACACTGTCTGGTCACAACATCACTGCCCACATCGGGGCACTGGCAAGCCGTGAGTTAATGAGCACCCAGAACATAGTCCTCAGATGAACGGGAAAGAAAAGAAAAGAGAAGAGAAGAGAAGAGAAGAGAAGAGAAGAGAAGAGAAGAGAAGAGAAGAGAAGAGAAGACGAAAAGAAAAGAAAACAAAAGAAAAGAAAAGCAGTGATAATGAAAAATGAGGATATCTTGTCACTCCTTTACGCAGAGGTAGGGCATCCCTCCCTTCCTCCACAGGCACCAATGGGCCAGAATCACCAGGAGCCTCCCAGCCCTCAGAATTCCCAGAGAGAACCACCGCGGGGAAGAACGCTTGAGGAGTCACCTGGCTTCAAATGACCTGTCCCAGACCAAAGCTGGCCTGTCAGAGGCAAGAGTCTCTGACCCACCAGCAGTTTGGGCTTAAGGGTCTGGAAACCCCACCTGTGAATATACAGAGTGGATGACAAGTTTCAGCACATCAGCACCCCTGACCAGAAGAAGCTGTCAAACACACAACTCCCAAACCTATCCTCCCCACTGATTCTGTGCATCCTTCTTAGCTCCAACCTCCAGGAGACCAAGATTCCTGGACAGAAAGAATTTATATAAATCAACAAGGGGAGAAAGATGAGCAGGAAGAGGACGAAAGGGCAGAAACCATCAACATTTGCACACACAGACTTCTGACCCAGCAATTCCTCTTCTAAGAATCTGGGCTGTGAACACGCTTCCATGGGAACACGAGGATGAATGTTCACCGCACCACTGTTTGGGTTAGAATGAGCTACGTTCAAATACCACAAATAGGTGTCGATATGTTAAATAACTTGGATGAAATGGACCATTCCAAGCAATACACAAACTACTGAAACTGACTCAAAGAAACAGCAAATCTAAATATATATATATATTTATTTATATATATATAAATATATATATTTATTTATGAAATATTATAATTTTTTTTGTAAATTTTTATTATGAAATAAATATATATTTATTTATGAAATATATATATATATTTCATAAATAAAGAAATTGAATTAGTAATCAAAAAGCTACACAAAGAAAAGCCCAGGTCCAGATGGCTTCAGCTATAAATCCTGCCATTAGAGAAGAAGTAATACTAATTCCTCAGAAACTCTTAAAATAGGAGAGGGAACACTTCCCAACTTATTCTAGAAGACTAGTATTACCCCGACACCAAAACCAAAGTCATCACAAGAAAACTACAGACCAATATAGTTCATGGATATAGACACAAAAATTCTCAAAAATATTAGCAAACTGAATCCGGCACCTTCTAAAAAGAATTATACATCATGACTGGGTGGGACTTATTACAGTCATGCAAAGTTGGTTTAACATCCAAAAATCAATGAATATAAAAACCAGAGGAATAAAGACAAAAACCGTATTATCAACTCAAAGACTAAAGAAAGCATTTGACAAAATTCAAAACCCTTTCTTGAGTAAAATGAAACACACACATACACACACACACACACACACACACACACACCCCAAACTAGATAGAAGGGAAATTCCTCAACATGATAAAGGGCATTTACCAAAAAAAAAAAAAAAAAAAAAAAAAAAAAAAAATCACAGGTAATAATATTCTTAATAATGGGAAACTAGATACTTTGTCCATAAAAGAAGGTATAAGACCAGAATATCCACTGTCATCATTTCTGTTTATCATTGTGTTAGATGTTCTAGCCCGAACAGTTGAGCAAAAGAAAAAAAAACAAAAACACAAAAAAACTATATAAAAGGCATCCGAACTGGAAAGGAAGAACTGAAACTCTCTCTATTCACATAATCTTATATAGAGAAATAAGGAATTCACTAAGCAAAACTTACTAAAAATAATACAATAAATGAGTTCAGGACGCAAGACACAAGATCAACCTACAAAAAAAAATTGTTTTGCTATATACTATCGATGGACAATGAAAATAAAATTAAGAATTCCAATTTTAATAGCATCAAAGAGAATAAAATACTTACATGTAGATTTAACAAAATAAATGAAAAACTTATACTCTGAAAAGCACAAGACATTGATGACAGAAATTAAAGAAGTTATAAACAAATGGAGATAAATCGCATGATCACAACTAGAAGGGTTGGTATGATTAGGAGATCTACACCCTCCAAACTGATCTACAGATTCAACGTAATCTCTATCAAAATCCTAGCTGAATCCTTTGTAGAAATTAAAAAGTAATCCTAAAATTGACACTGAAATTCAAGGGGCCCAGAACGGCCAAAAGAACAAAGTTGGAGGACTCATACTTCCCAATTTCAAACTTACTGCAAAGCAAAACAATCAAGACAGTGTGGTAGTGGCACAGGATAGGCCTATAGGTCCATGGAATGAAAGTTACAGTTCAGAAACAAATCCATAGATCTATGGCAATGGGTCTTCAACAAGGGTGCCAAGACTATTCAACGGGGTCTTTTCAACAAATCAACTAGAAAACTAGACAGCCATGTGCAAAAGAATGAGGTTGGACCATCTACTGAAATGAACTGAAAATGAATCAACAACCTAGATATAAGAGCTAAAATTATAAAACTCTTAGAAGAAGGAACATATGGGTTGGCTCAGTCAGTTGAGTGTCTAACTTTGGCTCATGTCATGATCTCACAGTGCATGAGTTCAAGCCCCGCGTCTGGCTCTGTGCTAACAGCTCAGAGCCTGGAGCCTGCTTCAGATTCTGTGTCTCCCTCTCTCTCTCTCTGCCCCTCCCCCACTCATGTTCTCTGTCTCTCTCTGTCTCAAAAGTAAACATTTAAAAAAATGTTTAAATAAAATAAATAAAACTCTTAGAATAAAACATAGAAGTCTTTGTGACACTGCATATGGAATGGATTCTTAGATATGACACCCAAAGCATAAGCAGCAAAAACAAAAAACAATAATTTGGATTTAATTTCACCGAAATTAAAAACTTTTGTACTTCAACAGACACTCTCAAGTGAAAAGACAACCTCACAAAATAGGAGAAATATTTGCAAGTCATATATCTGCCCCTCTCCTCCACTCGCAGTCTCCAAAATAAAAGAAAATTTTAATAAAAGATTCAAGATGCACTGCTAAGTGAGACAAATGGAATTTAGGTGATCCCATTTTTTTTCAATTAGATATAAAAAACCTATTTGTGTGTGTGTATCCCCTATATGATATACACATAAAGATATCAATATACAGGTATAAAATACATAGATATGCATAGGTATGTAGGTATCGATACAGATAGATAGGTCTGACGTGCATACACACATCACTCATCCAGACAAAAAATACTAACTTGAAGGATAAATGTCAAAATAAGTTATAGGTTAAGGATATTTTTTTTCCTTTTTTCTTTTCAGTATTTTTTAAATTATCTGTAACAACTATAAATTATTTTTGGAGTAACTTGTTACCCAGCAATAGTTTTTAAGGCTTCGACACACAGCAGAAGCTCTGGCATTCCTTTCTTTGCTCCCCTCAGCCCCTGCCCCAGGCCCTTCTCTCGTCTTCATTACCGGGTATCCAGGGACACAAGTACACTGCCTTTGGTGTCCACAGAAAGCCCCTGGATTCGGGCCAATTCATTCCCAGCTCTGACCGTGGCTCTGTGGATTACAGACTGAGGCTCTCCCAAATGACCCTCCTATCCAGTTTACTCTGTTATCCATGAAAAGTGGCAATCAAAAGATCTTTTGTGGGGGAAAAATACGTATTTGTGTGTTCTTAGACAATGCCCTTGTATTGTCTGATCTGTTAACCCCAAATGATTAAGCACCTGCAAGGCACGGACTAGATACTGCAAGTGCCAGGCGAGGACTCCAGGGTATTTCATCTCAATTATTAGACAAAGCTGCTCAGCATTGTTACAGATGACCAGTGTCACAGCGGTTCAGAGGAGGCATGAGGCACTTCTGGCTGGAAGGTCAAGTGTATGAGTTCTCTACTCCTGTGTGACAAATGACTCCAAAACTTAGTGACTCTAAATTTCTTTGGCTCAGGAATGCAGCAGTGGTTTCATTGTACGGTTCCAGCTTGGAGTTCCTCAGGTGGCTACAGTCAGGACATGAACGGGGGCTGCATCACCTGAAGACCTGGTTGGGGCTGAGGGATCTGCTCACAAAGCTGCTGCCAGGAGGCCCCATCCTCCATCACACACACCTCTCCAGAGGCTGCTTGAATGTCCTCAAAATACT